CCTCTGGAGCTGCCCCTGGGCCCTCAGAGTCTCTGACAGTGCGGAGTCGTAACCCTCCCACAGCTTTCACCCCCTCCTCCTGACCTATAAAAGCCAGACTGGACCTAACACTCTCCGGCGCAGCTGAATGGAACAACAAACACTATTTACTGAAGCTTCACCTCCACCCTGCAGTTTTAACCACATCAGAGGGGAAGGCACACAAAGCCCCACCGTGAACGGTACAACATTTCCTGGTTCTTCCGAGGAAAAGTGTGTGCAGACACACTGAAACCACGATGCAGCAAAGTCCAGGTTCATACTAACACTGATTTTGTCTGTGTTTTGATTTCAACACAGACAGTGAAAATCTCTTCTCATCTTCTTCTTCTTACAAATACCTTTTTCAAACTAAATCAATCTCTGTCCACACAAGGATTTATCGCTTTGCATCAGTTTTAATCCGTGTCCATGCCATCGCCCCGAAACGTATATATATCAAGTGACCACTCAAATAAACTGGGTAATAGTGTTGTACACTGGTAGCCGAGGGTAATACCGGTTGTGTTCTTCTGGAAAGGGGTCGTGTGATAGGAGCCTGACGAATGAGCAAATGCTACGTTGTGACTGATAATACTTTTCAATAATTTCCAAACTTGCCTATGTTATCGACTATAGCACTTAGTAGAGCCCATAGCTCCGCCACGGCCAAAAACTCAGAGATACTGTCACATTTTCCAAGATATCACTGCATATAATTGAGTCATATGATGTCATGCAATAAATGAGGAATCCCAAAGATGTCATGCAAATATACGTTTTTAAGGTGTTGCTGTAGGACAATCGATATGAACTGAAGCAGCTCTAAGGCCCAACAGTTTCCTCAAATTCACTCAAGCTGCACCAAGTGATCAATCCCCTAAATATGCCTGTTTCTCATCCAAATTCATGAAGTATTCCCTGGACATCTCACAATGTTGAAGAAAGTTACATAAAATTCCTGGACCTGCACCAACATTTAAAGGGTTAACGCATCCTTCCTCCAAGTTTCATGAAAATCTGTTCAGTTGTGTTGTTTAAACAAATCAACAAACAAACGGACATGAATGATAGGCTTTACCTCATTGTTGGAGGTATTGAACCCTTTGTACCATTTCCTCAGTCTCTTTTAAACATTTCCCAGATGCCTCCAGTCCTTTAATCAATCATTAAACTTTTTCTTCTTGTACATTTGCTGCCGTACAGCTGCGGAGTAAACCTGTACTAAAGGGTCAAGGTGTCGATCGAGGTCTAGATAACCGTGTCTGGTGGAACGGCCGATTCATTCAACCACACTTCTCACCAGATCAAAATATGACACCACGTCCACCAGGCTGCTGGAGAACTGCAAATGTGGCCATTACGGTGGTGAGCTCTTTAACACTGTGATTAATGGGTAATGATGGGTTTTCAGCCGACACAGCGGGGCTCTGCTGCGTGACTCTATTCCCCAGGCTGTAATACTCAGCCCGACCGCTGCTCATCAGAAGCTTCTCTTTCAAGTTGGCCTTGGTTATTGTATGAGAGAAGATTTCATCTCCTGACAGTAAACATGATCGGAACATGAGAAACACTGGGCCCTATTTGAAAGTGCATGGTCTAAAGTGGGTATTATTTAGACTTGACATGGAATAAACCAGTCGGAGTGTCATCTCCTATTCTCTTTGAAAGCCAGATCTGCTTGCACCTTTGCGGATTGTTATCGTAAGGGGAGATTGCTAGATACAGGAAACAGTTTTTAGCGAGAGGATGTGCACCAGCTTGTGCAGCTGCATATTATTATCTGAACCAGTGCAGTGGCCGTTCTAAACCTGCCTGTCTGGTCTGTGGCGACGCTGGTTGCAGCTTTTCTTTCTGAAACTGTAAAACTGACCTGCAGTGATTGAGCCGTGGAAAATAAAGAGCTGTTCACCTGTTTATCAAAAATCATCAGCTCAGTATGCAGAACTGGAGAATCAGCTGTTGTCACTGTTATGAACACCTTAAACAACGTCTTATAGAAATTAATTAAGATTGAACCTATATCACATGTCTGAACCAGCTCCAGATTTAACACTGCACTTAATTTGGCCGTACCAGTTAATAGATAGATTGATAATATCCTCCATTTAGTTTGGTCAAAAGCATTTCTGCTTTAATATCTCAGTTTAAGACTCATGGGCGCTCACATAGGTCCAACTGCATTTTCTTTCTAAACACTGCAGACTGTGTCAGTTTGAAACTATAGCAGAGACAGTCTTGGTGCTGCTTTGTGCCGGGTGTAGGCCCACAAGCTTTTTAAGGGGGGGGGGAGTGAAAAGTTTTTACAAGAGAAGATACCAGCTCTAGACTTTACCAGCAGTTTTGTCTGATGTCTGAGAACACACTTTGGTCTGAGGGACTTTGTACACTCACATCGGAAAAAATTGCATCATTATATTTCAGAACGTCCAACATGTTCTCAAGGTACATTTGCATACTCCACCGACAAACCGCCTGAACCTTTCCGACATGGTTCGATTGGGGGGAAAAAGCAATATGTGATTTTTAAGACTTTTACTTGAAAAGCCATGGGTTCATGCAAGATTAGAGGTTTGGCACATCACTGAAGTGGATCCATACAACTGTTTAAGAATATAAGGTCTTATTATTTGAGCTCTTTCTATTGTCAGGCTTAAGTGTCAGGTGAGAACAAAACAATGTGGGTTTGACTATGAGACCCATCCTAATGTCATTTATCTCATCGTGTCTTGATTAAACGCCAAACTTTGTCCTCCCATCTCCGTCGTGCAGCTGAGACCAACAGCAGGTGAACTTCGCCGATGCTGTTTTTGTGCTCACTTCTGTTTGTGAACAATTGTGTGTCTAGCTTGCCTGTTCCCTGATGAGACTCGGTCCGCCGGCTGCACCTCTCCCGGTGACCTCACTGCATCTGACTGCAGCACAATCGCGGGTATTGTGTTGACAAGCACAGATTGAAAACAGCCGGGCCGCACTGTAATCGCACAATCTGGAGAAAGGGACTAAATTATAGAGGGAATCCTGTTGACATTCATTTCTCTTCCACCACCAGTCATGGCTTCTCTGTCTCTCTCTTGTCTTGCTCCGTCTCGTTCTCTCTCTCTCTAGCTGTTTGTTCACTTTTGGTTCGGTACATCGCAGAGAAAGAACGTGTCAACAAATGTCTAATCAACGCGGTAATAGCCGAGCAAGCGCTGATTTGTTGATTTCAAAATACATCCAGAAGAAAAGTGAGTTCTTTCAGATGTCGAAACAAAGTGTTTTTTGGGGAAGTGCTTTTTCATCACCTGCCTCCACAAAAGCTTCAATGCTCCTTGTCAAAGTCTTTGAAGCCCTAATGGAGAGATGGTGCAATATCTTTCCAAAACATTCCATTTGTTGCTCCCTGTGTTGGTGTTAGACCGAATCCAGCAACTGTGAAGAAAATAACAAATAATCACCATATGAAACCTATAACTTGTTCCCTGAGCCCGGTATCTACACCTGCCACGTTCCCTCTCATTCATTCAGGTTTCTCCTTTAAGTTGAAGAGTCCTTCGCTGAATAGATCTCATTGTGATCTCATTATTTTTTCACGGGGTTGTCATGTCACCAGCCACGTAGGAAAATCCCCTGATGCAGCCTCGTTAGCCTTTTCAGCAGAACAACAACAGAGTCAGAGACAGAGTGGGAGGCAGGGATGAAAACACACACAAGCGAGAAAAGTAAATAAAGTACAACAAAGATGTCACGCAAATATCCATATTTCAGGTATTGAACCAATTATGACATTATGTGGTAGAAACGTGGTCTTGATGATGTAATTATGAACTTGCATTAATATAATATTAAAAAGTAAGCAAGCATTATTCAGTGTGTCTGCATGGTGCATCACCCCTCTCATACTAAGTGCATAAAGGCAGCACTGATGTTCTTTCCACAAAAGAAATTTGAATCTGCTTCCCTCGGTTTTCTCCTCACAGCTCTGCAACCTGTAATTTCAAATAATGTGTTTTCCCCCCTAAAGACACGTTTGGTCCTGGATCAGGTTGTAAGCTCTGCGAAGGCTGCTATTGTTTACAGTCTAATTTGAGCGGGTGGAACAGTGACCTGCATCCCAGAGCAGACATTACACCTTCCCCTTGTGTAGAACACAACAGCCCAGGTGGAGCAGGCGGTGCACATTGTCTAGCTGCCATAATCACTAAGCATACACTGCCATTCTTTACCCTCACCAGTGTGTGTTGGTGCAGGAAGACAAACCTGACAATGTGCACAAATTAGAGGCAGGCAGGGGAAGGGTATGATTAATGGTTCCCAATAAGGACAGGCGCCAGGGGAAAGTGGACTGTAGCAGCCGCTTGTAAATCCCAGGATTGTCTCAGTGGAGGAGGTGCATGGAGTTTGATTTGGGAGCAAAGAGAAAATGCAGGACTCCTCTGTGATATTATACAAGATATCTAATATGTTGCGAATTCTGCAGACCACAGTATCTTTACACATTTAATACAAGCTGTCTCCTTTGTCCTCTGCAGTTTTGTTAATTTGCCCCATGAGACTGTGCATTCTTTGAATAATCTCTGCTCTGGGCAGTGAGAGCAAGCTTCCCTTTTATTACACAGAATTTCCACCTCCGTCACTTGCAGACTTTTTCCTCTGAAAGGCCGTTTTCTTACCTCCAAAAACTGGAAGTTTGACTGGTCCGAGCGGGGGGAACTTCTCACATCCAGGGCTGAGGAAATCCTCCAAATCTCCCTCTGCGGTGCAGTTTGATAATTGCGTAAATAAACGTGGATGTCTGTGCGTGTTGACGCCACGCACTGGCACAGTTGACTCATTCAGACAGTGTAAACTGAAGTGATGTGGCGGGGGAGGGAACCCCCCGCTCGCGTGTTGTGGATCGTTCCTCCACATCCAGGCGAGGTGAGCGCGGCGCACAGCGTCAGTCGGACCACAGCGGGTTTGTGGATACGCAGCGGAGCGCACGGCTAAGGACTGTACAGAGCAACTCCAACACAAATGGATATTTACGTGGCTTTGTTATCGCTTTTCTTTTTTACCAAACCAGGTGAGTACGAGCCGCGGGGCACGCTGCGGTCACACGGAGGAATTTTATCACGAGAAACAGGAGCTTCTGGAGGTTTTTTAAATTTTTTTTAACGCTCCTCCTTACGCGCAAGCTTGTCAGATTTTCTTCGTAGTGTCTCTGGACTGCACCGCTCCGTGTGTCTCCATTGTCTTTTTATTAGCATTAGCAGTTTGTTGAGTGAATATGTGAAAATAACACACTAAGGTGAGAGGGATGATGGCACCTTGTACCTTTAGCGAGTGCGCACAGTCCAGCTCCGGTCCGTGGAGAGGACAGGTGCTGGCTGCGGCCACAGACGGTGCATGTCATCGGGCAGCGTTACCAGAGACCCTGCGCGTAAATTCCAACTGCGTGACTTTTTTTTTTTTCCACAATCAGCCATTTTATTGAGCAGCGGAATGCACATAGTCAAGTGACCGTGGGATGAGTTTGTGGGTTTTAGTTGGAAACCCTGTCAGGTTTAATCCTCTCAGCTGCGCGTCACCTCCTCTAACCTTCATTTCTCTTCTCCAGCTTTGGGATCAGATCAAGATTACCAGATTGATATCATCCATGAACTTGACCTGGCTAATGCCACCTATGGAATTACCCAAGTGGCGGGGCTCCACAACAGCAGCAAAGCCTTCCTCTTCCGAGGTAACGCACGCACGCTGACAGTGTCCTCCTCATTAGTCGAAGTTCCGAAACGTATTTGTCTGTTCCATGGCTGCACGCACGCACACACACACACACACACACACACACACACACACACACACACACACACACACACACACACATGCACACGCACGCACGCACGCTCTTTGTTCCAGTAGTTGGTGTGAGCGCAGACGCGCAGCGCGCCACACCTTTTGGTGCCACGGTGTTAGAGGGGATTGTGAGACGGAGATCTCCGGGGAGCCTCCTCTCATAATTACTCCACATTTAATTTGTCCCGGGCAGCAGATGCTCGGGCTCTTCGTGGAAACACTTGAACTGAGCTGTCTGTGTGTAGGATTTTTACAAAGCTCCACTGACATCCACTGTTGTGCCATCTAAAAACCGGTGGTGGTGGATGGAGATCAGGTGCGTCACAGCCAGTGGACCCTGATGGGCGCACAGCGTGTGGCTTTGATGTTTACAGCCTCAAAGAAAAAAATAAATCACACTTTCCTTAATTTCCCATATATGTCAAAGCCTTAGGGTCTAACAGGGAAGTAAACATGATAAACTGCTGACATGTTGAGGTGGTGGTGGTGTGAGATGTGTTTCCAGTGATAACTTTGCTTTGCTCTCTTGCTTCCTCTCCTGCACTCTGCTGCAACTTGTTCCTTTCTTCATCTAGTGCCCTCAGCTTTCAGCAGAGAGAGGCTGAGTTGTTAGAGAGCCGGAACGAGTGGGATAGAAAGCACTGAGAGAAACCAGAGGGACACCTGGATGACAGTGTGAGAGCGTTGGATGTTGAGTGTGTTTGTGTGTTTTGTTTCCTGCTCGGCTGCGAGTACAACAAACTGCCAGGAAAACCTGAAATCACAACTATTAAGGTGTTAAATTTCATTTTCGATAGCATGATATTGAAAGGAAGCCAGTATGGCTTCGTCAATACTGGTCGAATATGTTACCAGCTCAGGGGAAATACTGAAACTTTACTTTCCGTTGTGAAAATATTCAAATTCAAAGAAACTGGCACCGACACCAGCAGCTTGAATCCAAAAGAGGCAGCGATGGGTGCTGAGACTCATATTAGCATAGTGGATGTGTATTTTGTGTGTGTGTGTGTGTGTGTGTGTGTGTGTGTGAGCGTGATTGTGCGTGTGGTCTTATTTTCTAGAGTGCTTGGCTGGGTGCGCCACTGGCTCTGTTTGAATGCAGGCAGGGCGGCCTGGCCAACTCTACCGAGGTGGAGCCGTCCAAGAATCAGGGCTGGAGGCCATGGGGGAAGCACAGCCTCACTTCTTACTTGACACACACTCGCATGCACACACACCTACTCCGAGCTGCTCTCCCCTGTGGTTTCCAGGCTCCCGGGGGTGGAGGTGCAGGAGCCAGATACTGTGGGAAAGGCAGCTAATCCAGCAGGGAAACCAGGGCCTGTGAGTGTTGTGGATGACGCTAGTGTCGTGACCCATTTAACGCGCCGCCCACCCCGGCGCTGCTTTCATGGCCCTGTAACCCAGATCGCCCCACAGAGCGGCTGCAGCAAAGAACCAGGTTCTTTTTCTTTGAAAGTGTAGAAGTTGAAGCGGTTATAGTTCAGAGTAACAAACAGCCCATGATTAACTGCCTAGTAGAAGCCTTACTTGAGCCGCTGTGGCTGATTAGGTCAGTGATTATTCAAGATGATTTATGTCGGCTGTATGCAATCATGTTGTGCTCCGAGCTCAATATCATATTTCATCTGTTTGATTGCGTAAATCATGGGGGAACAGATTGTAACACTGGTGAAATGGCCAGTGTTCCAATTAGCGTCCATAGCTCTGGGAGAACTGGGGACGTGGCCCTGGCATTGTCTTCCTTCTGGACACTGGGACCAGTCTAACCACTGATTTACAAACAGATGTTTTTTGCACTAGAAACTGTAGATTTCCTCTAGTTTAGGTTTTCAGCAGAATAATGCATCGTGCAGCCTCCACTCAAAAGGTCCTTGTTTGGATGTGCCCTCTGACCTCACGGTGCAGAGAAGGAAAAACAACGCTCGTAATCCTGCTGCGCTCTGATAGTGAGGAACAAAGCTCCGCTAATTGCTCAGATATTTGCATGTTTGTTGTAGTTTCTTTTAATCAACCGCTTACGTTTGCTGTGATGTGTTGAATACAGTTAATTTGTCCAGATGAGAACCTGACCTAGTTTCTCATCCTACATTGGAACTCAGATTGTCAACCTCATTACTCAGTCTCCCCACCATCCAGTCTTGTTTCCCAGACAACAGACTCTGACTTCATGCATGTTCCGTTCAGACCATCGAGCATAAGCACATGCAAATCCGCACCATGTCACAAAGTGGATTCTGCAGGTCTTCGCTCAGTTTCTAGCTTCTGTAGCCATTTGTTTTAAGGATGAACTCTGGAAAAAGTTTGAACAATGGGGTCTGGACTTCTGAAGTTTGCCCCAGCAGGAGATTCTCCAGTCAGACGTGGTCACAACAGCACAGATTCATTTCCGGAGGTCGTCCAAAGCTAGGGGCGGCGCAGCATGTCGGAGGCTGGATATGACGTATACATTCCGCTGAGATCATGTGGTTTTGTTTACCGCACATCAACCTCGTTTTTACATATTGACATTTTCGTCTGTCTCCTTTTGTTAACCCAGAGATATTTGTATTCTTTGGTTTGTTTTGCATCCATCACGTGTAAGAAACACAAACATTATCCCCAGTTTTTACTCGGGGTCAGGCAGGACACAGTCTGAAGAATGTCCGCAGCAGCTCAGAAGTTTGCAATATCACGTAGAGTGGATAATCTACAGAAATTACCCAGAGTTCAGTGTATGTCCGAAAGCATCTTGTGACCTGAGTCTGCACCTGAGTTGGGATTCATCCAGACTAATTCAGTCGGTTGAGGTCGGGCAGGGGCCTCACTGCCTCGCAGCTGGTTTTTGTGTCCGTGTGTGAAATTGTGTAACACCAGAGTGGATCCCAGCGGACCTTTGATCAGTCCTGATAATGAGGTACATCATATTCACCACAGGGGAAAATGAGTTTTTTTGACCCAGGACCAGAAGCGTGAGGTGTGAGTTATGGAGAAAATGACAAGTATTTTAAACTCGTTTCAGCTCTTTACCTGCTGCCACGTCATCATGCCGCTTATTTCATTTTCTGGTCTTTAACAGAGTCCAACAGCCCCCCCCCCCTTACGACCACCACCGAGGAGTTTATATTTCCAGCAGGGTTACCCAAAAAGTAGTATTTATCCAGTGATTGTTTGTCTGCTGGTGTGTCACGATCACTGCTTCAGTTTCACCGGACCACACGCACGTCTATAGACAAAGGAATATATGAATATTAAGCTGTTGTATTTGAATGACCTTCTATTGAAATCACGGCAATTTACTGTTGGAAAATCTGAAGTTACCTAATCTGTAAAATTAGATTGTTCAAGATTTGAACAATTAGAGCTAGACAGTTTATTATTTACTGGTTATCTGATTTATTTGAATTATTGTTTAGTCGAATAGATTTCCATGCTTACACAACTTGTGTGAAACCAAGTTAGCTGTGAATCCATGGAGTCAGTATCGCCTCCTTCATTGACTCTGCTGCTCAAAATCATTAATGTTAAATAGTTAAATGTTAACAACAAATGCAGCCTTGATTCTGATATCCCTGAAATCTATAAACACGCCTCTTATCAGCCTTTTAGACCAATTATCCTTAACATATGACAAGTCTGGGGCCTGAAATGGTTCTTAACTAACGTTTAATCGACCCTGCTGTCGATTCTAAGCTTTTGTTCTTTCTCGATTCCCATTTAAAGCAGAAAAACACACTGAAACACTGCACCACTGTCCACTAAACAGCTGTAGTACCTGTTGCTCTTTACCTTTATGGGTCCAAGTTGTTGTGGATTTCTGAGTGAAGCAATTTAAACTTTAAAATACAAAACAAAAAAGAATGATCCAACTTTTGACACTGTGATTATTAGCTTTATTGCATGAAAGTAGAGTTTCTCAGCCTCTGAAGCAAATAGAGACATTAAATCAGAACATTTAATAGATTAAACATTTGGCTTCATCAATGAAACTCTGCTGTAATCTGCCTCAGTATATCACCCTTTACTTAAATGATCAGACAATTTTCAAAATACAGGCTCGGAGCTAACAGATTTAATTTCCCAAAATGACTTTTGCCTCTCCAGATGCATTTGTTGTCTGTATGTTTTACATATCAGTTTTTAAAATTTCCCTTTTTAACCTTTAGACAGAGCTTGTAGCTCAATCTTCAATTCAAACAAATGTTGTTTCTCATCTTACTCTCTACATGAAGCAGAATAAACTTTTTCCATTTTAAATATGTTGTCAACAATCAAATTCAAAGTGAAATGATTCCTCCTTGCATTTAGGGATTCTCTTGTAAACGATGATGCATTTGCACGTGGGTGGGATTTCTCAGGGCACCAGTGTTATGAGCTTACTGTAGCTTGACGATGTGTCAGAACTTTGAGGTTTGCCCAAACTGCCATAAGCTCTTTTTGCATTCCTCCCTTGCAACATGTAAATCTGTCCCACAGCCAAAAAAAACCATGTGAAATCAAGTTGAAGAGCAGCTTATATCGAACAGAGTGAGTGGATGGTTACTACCCTCTGGGAATGAGTCGCCAAATCCTGCTTCACAAGGACTGAAAGAAATTAGAGCAATTTGCAATCGACTCAATTAAATAAAGGGACTTCTCTGTTGTACAGGATCTGCTAAAATACTGAAAGCTGAATCTAGGCTTTTAGATTTTTGCTTTCTAGCCAATTGGCTCCTGTGCTGAAGCTTTCCTCACTGGGACCAATCAAAAAATACAGTTTGTTTTCACCCATGACTATTGGTTTGTGTTACTTTTAACAGGATTACGCAAAAACATGACATGGGCCAAAAAAACATCCGTAAAATGTTTGATTGTTCAGATTCCTCAGACAATTATAAAAATCTGACTTTAGATCTTTAGGGGACTTGT